TTCTCTTTCAGTGGTTGCATACCAAGCAATTGCACCTATGCTCATTTTTCCTCTAAAAGAAGGTTCCAGAAAGAATGATATAGCACTGAGAATCCGTTCTTTATGAGGATTCAGTTTCTTATGCTCTGTTACTTCACTATCCTCTAACTTCAAAGTAGCCTATGGCCATCTCCATGAGACCAAATCCTTGACAGCTGGAAATTCTGAACCCAATCCCTGCATATTCCATTTCAACTTCCTATAAATAAATATACCTTCTTCCTAATTTAGTGTGTCTCCTGATAGTCACTATAAGAAAACAGGAGCAAAGACAGGCATTTTCCAATTGAGATTATATTATTCACTCACACTATTAAAGTTATAAATGGAAACAGAATGCTAGTAGATACATGCAAATGAATTCATCTCCTACCTACATCATCTTCATCATCTTCTTTGATGTTATTAATAGAACCATCTGGAAAGGATGGAGGAGAAACAATACAAGTAAAGACAAATGCTGAGCAGAAATGTAAAGCAGACTATTCAATTTTTTCTTCCTGACTCTTCAGTGTCTACTGGCAAGAAGAGTCATTTCATGGAGGAGTGGACGAAATGATTGGGAAGGTAATGGAGAGTGTTGAATGTCACACTGAAGAACTCGCCGTATCTCACTTGGCAGGGACGGGATGAAAGCAAAGCAATGCTTTTTAATCACTAAGGTTGCTCTGCTTTGCCCTAACAGCACTCACCTATGTTTCGGACTGTGGTACTCTTGACACCCCGAAGGTTCTTCCGGGTGTGGCTGAAGTTTGAAAACTATTGAGAGACACAAATTTCAACCAATATTAAGATGCAAGCCCTCAAGCAGCCCAGTGCTTCCCTACCACAGGGGCTGGGAGGGATTCAGGGAAGGACACCCGGGTATTGCTTCCTTTGCAATATTAGGTAGCAGCAGATTGCTTTCGAAGTTAGGTTTCCTGTATGAATTATCCTAAAATTGGAGATTTTCTGTATTCCCTGTACATGAAGTTTCTCTTTCCTAGGCCTCTAGTTTAGAGTTGGGCAGTACCTGGGGCTCACGGCACCAACAAGGGGAGGAGGGCTAGGAAAGTGCGCTGGCAAATGGATGGAAGCAAGCTGAGGCTTAATGAGCAAATGGGCAGAGTAGAAAACTCGGGGTCCAGCTGGGACTACCAGAGCTGCGTTCCCACCCTGGATTTCCAGGGGTCGTCATTTTTGCCCTTTCTAACCAAAGGTCTTGCCTCTCGTGGGGGTGGGGACGGGGTCTCCCTCTGTGGCCCTCTTCCAAACCCTTCCCTCATCTCCCCTCCAGCATCTGACGCCCCGCTTCGAACGCTCACGGGCTCTCCCTCCCCTCCCGGCCGATCTCCCTCTGCGAGTGGGAGCTCCACCCCCGCGGCTGTGCACCCCCCGACTCGGTGGCGGTTACGTGGCTGTTCAGCCGCTCGCTCTCCGCCGCCCCTGCGTCGCCTCCCCACAGTAACGACGCCATGGCTGTGATCGCTGCTCCCGCCCCCAGCACGTGCTTCCACCACAGGCGCGAGGCGGTGCTGGCTCTATCCGCTGGCCAATGGGTTTCCGCAGGGGGGCACGCGTCCGCGCCCGCCACCACCGCGGTGCGGCGCGCAGGCGCTGGAGGGCGGGGTGGGGCGCGGGGCGGAGGGCAGAGAGCGCGGCGGAGGTCAGAGAGCGCGGCGGAGGTCAGAGAGCGCGGCGGAGGGCAGAGAGCGCGGCGGAGGGCAGAGAGCGGGACGAAAGGGCAGGGACCCGGGGGCGGAGGGGGCAGCCTCCGTTCCCGCTTCCGCCCGGCGGAACGCCGCACCCCACGCCGCGCTGTACGCCCGGTGCCCATTTTCCTGGAAATTTCCGCCTTCGCATCACAAGATGTCAGAAAGGTTAGCGAATTGCTTAGAAAAGTGGAGACAATATCTGATGAATTTGATATGACGAATGACCTCGGGGGCACAGTTGCGGAAAGGAAGCAGAGCTGTTCAAGCTCTAACTGCTGTTCTTGCCCTAGATACCTGTGATGTTTCACATAGGCTTTTTAAACCTTTTATTTGAAATGTGGTCTCTTGTTAAAAACATTTCCTCTCGGTATAATCTCTACGTCCTACATGCGTTTGCATAATACGGGATAGATCCCTGGATCCCTGGTACTAATGATTTAATGACTGCTCAATTTGGAAGAAAGAACCAAATTCCACCTCCCCCCCGCCCCCCAGTTTTCTAATTGTAATTTTGAGATTTTGATCAGCATTTCTGGAATTGGGGGCGAAAATACAAAAACACACGAAAAACTGCAGTCATGATCTCTCCGTGGTGCTGAAGCAATGCTCCCGGCTCTGTGCGGTCACTCTCAGGGCCCCTAGTCGTTTGTTTTGAGATTATCATATTCATTTCAGCTTTTAATTCTAATAGTCAATGTTTTCGTCTCTCAATGGTAACTTTCTTCTCATTTAACTAGGTACAAAATCGAGCCAGCATCTTCAATGTTTTAGTTTTCGTATAAGGACAGCAGACATTTGAAAAATTACCTTTTTTTCTATTAGTTTAGCGTAGCACTAGAATTCCTCCTTTTATTGCTGTCCTGCCACAGGCCCAGATTCTCCCTTGTTGGTGGAGAAACGGTAGTTGGACTAGAAAACTTGAGGTAGATTCTAGCAGCAAGCTCGGTTCTCAGAACTACATTTCCCACAAACGTGGACTACACTTCCCATGAGGGCTCGGGCGCCTGCGCAGAAGACGCACAGCAACAGCTTCCTGTCTGGGAAACGCTGCGCGGCCGGCTACCGGAAAGTAAGTGTGGGATTTTTGGGGTGGGTTACTTTCTGGGTTCCACAGGGGAAGGGACAAATGGACACATTGCTGAACGGTTGTCTGTTGTCTTCTTTTTGCCCTCTTTCACATACTTTGGTCTTTTCAGGAAAGCATTGGTGTCTGGAAATGAGACATCGCTTAAGACCATGTATTTTTCTTTTGTGCCTGGTACTTTCTGGAGCTCCCGGCGGAAACTCGCCGCAGTCGGGGCGTGTTTAATTCCGTTGTGACGGGAGCTTCAGTGGTCCTTGTACTGTGAAGTACAAAAGTGCTCTGCTGCCCCACTTAGAACTGGATGCTCATAAAACAGTAGAAGTTGAGAACCCAGGATTATGTGGGAGGCTGTGGCAGCAATTTTCAAATTATTTTGGGGATTGCCTTACACACAGAGCACGATTGCTTTCTAGTGATCATAGTGCGTGTCTGCTAATCCTTTGGACAGTACTGCCTCTTCTTCCCTTTGGATTAATATAAAGTTTATCAAGAGGAATCCTATTTGTGTTAACCCACTGGTTCCTGAGATTAGACCTTTTTTCTTTTCTTTTCTTTTTTTTTTTGAGACTGTCCCCCAGGCAGAGTGCAGTGCCGTGATCACTGCTCACTGCAGCCTCGACCTCCTGAGCTCAAGCGATCCTTCCACCTCAGCCTCCGACTAGCTGGGACTACAGGCGCGCGCCGTCTTGGCAGGCTAGTTTTTAATTTTTTGTAGAGACGGTCTCGCTCTGTTGCCCAGGTTGGTCTCGAGCTCCCGGCCTCGAGCGATCCTCCGTCTTGGCTTCTCAAAATGTTGGGATGACAGGCGTGAGCCACGGCGTCCTGCCCAATGTATGGAACATCTGGGGATGGCTGTTTTAGTTTGTAATTGGTGCTTAGGGGACACACGAATTCCCTCTTTGTGGTCACTTGGCAGCCCTGGCCAAGGTGTTACCTTAAACATCTGCTTGGGAACTACTGCACTTCATCCTGAAGAAGGATAAGGTGTGCTGGAAAAAGCACTGTAGTGTACCAAGTCCTGTTTTTGCCACAAATATGCCTTATAACCAACTAGACTCACTCTCTGGCCTAGTTCTTTAATTAGCAGGGGAGATGAACTAGTTAACTTTGGAGACTTTGGTAATACTGGATGGACTTTTGAGATCCAAATAAATAATTGGAGTGTTTTGCATGTTAAAATCACCATGTAATTTTTGACCTCATAGAAAGCTGAGGTGTAAATACAAATTACCTTTAATCCCACTACTCAGGAGTTAGGTTTTGATCTTTCCCTGTGTGTACTGAGATCATCCTGTGTTTATATTTCATTTAATTTGCACCTTCCCATATTACTTTCCCCAAGATTCCCAATGACTATTGAATACTCTAATACCTTTAAAAACATTTACTATTTCACTGTTGGTGGACAGTTTGCAGTTTCTACTTATTTGCGGTGAGTATATCCTACATGCATCTGAGTTGTTGATTACTTCTTTTCCTGACAAATGCCTAACAAACAGAACTGGGTGAATATGTGAATTATGTGGCTTTAAATGTTATAGGGAAAGTGATTTTCGCAGATAGTAACAGGCAAGGTCATTCACCTTTATGTTAGAGCTTTTTCTCTGTGAACAAGCAAACTGTGCCATCATTCTTCTGGCCTCTGGTGTTAAAACTGACAACTTTTAGATTTTAGATGGTCCCCGTTGGGTTAGAAATATCAGGAACAGATAAAGTACAATTTAAGGTGAACAGAATTCATATTTTGATCTGCACCCACACAGGCTAAGTAGGTTCATACCGGTATTTAATTTTGCATCTGATTCCAAATGTTACTAGTTTGAAATTCTACTGGAGTAGGAATAGTCTTCCAAGTGAGGCATAATTCCTACAAAAATCTCGGGCAAATTATAAAAAGCATGGTATTCCAGAAAAACAGCTGGCAGGCAAAATATTTTTGAAGTAATTCTGAAATAAAACAAGTTTGAATCCTGTATGTTATATGGTACTGTTTTGGGGCATTATTTAAATAAAACTACTTGGATTTGTTGTATACCTTTAGTAATGAGGGCTATGTTGTTAACCTCTCCCATCCTTGAGGACTGTGTAAAAGGCAAGTTTTTGTTCCTTCTTATGAGCTCTCATCATAGCCCAGGTTCAAGATCATCTTAGGCAAGTATTTCATTAAATAATGTTCAAGTTCATGAATTTCCAAAATACTTTAATTGATAAGTGTAATGCCCAGCAACTTAAAAAACACACATTAAAGTACAGCAACTCACAATGATAGGTAAAAAAGGTTACAGGACACAAAGGGCCCTTACTAATTTGACAAAATAGAAATACCAGGTCTGTTGTTCTTTCTGATGATTTATCTTGCAACTGCTGGATTTGAGTGGCAATTTGGAAGTATTATCTGATACCAATGTGATATATAGCTAGGAAAGACCAATGATAGGTGAAGTCCTTACCGTAAGATGTTTCTAAGAGCTTTTCAAGACAATTGTTTCTATTTAAAAGGAACGATATAAAGAGCTGGGTTATCTCAAACAATCCTGTGAAAGAAGTTTAAAAAGATTTAAGAAGGAGAAAGAGGGAAGGGAAGCTTCCTGGGTATGACACCATTTGCAAGGTCACAACGAACACCCCAACGGAGTGCAGACCTTTTCTTCTCCGTTGGTACTAGATAATTGTTTGGGACATATATGTGCTGAGGTTTGGATTGGGGTTCTGCTCGACAAAGCATCTGCTCTCGGACACCCCAGCGTAATTCCTTCCTATGATCTTCACCAGGTAAACGTATTGAGTCCCAGTCCCGTTTGTACTCAAAATACCGGGCTACCCGGTCTGTCTTGCCCCGGTTTCGGCTTAATTGGTCCAGCTTTGGGAGAATAAAGGACTTGGGTCTGCTGGCAACAATGAGGTCTTGTTCGTAAGCTGGAGAGCCCATTCCTTCTCTTTGTAGAGAGCAAATGAGCTGATCTTGAGAAATTCTTTGGTATTCATGTGGTGGATTAAATTTTTGTGAAATATCAAATGAAGATTCCTTGTCTTCCTGGAACTGCACATTCATCAGCCTTTGTCTTAAGTCCCAGAGACCCTGATCGTTTTCTGTACCAGATTCTGATTCACTGATAATTGACTCATCTGTTACTAATACTTCCCCATCTGGCTTTCTACGCAGCACCTTTCTTTTCATCACTGGCTTTCGGAGTCTTTGGGAGGCCTCAGAGACTGTTTCTGAAGTGACATTACTTTCTACATGTGGGTACTGTAGTTGCACAGGAAGAGTAGGTCGCTTTCCTGGGGCTATTGAAGCTTTACTGTAGGGATCATATTGGATAGATTGGGCTTCTCTCCTAACATCTCCTTCACCCTGCCCTGCACAGATGTGGGTAAAAGCTGTAGCAGCTGCCAACATTCGTTCTTCTGGATCCATAGTAGCCCATATTTGTCTATCAGGTAGAAGTTCTTCCATTGCTTCCCCTACACTGTAGGACCTTCTGCAAGAGATAACATTGGTCAGTTTTCTGATAATAAATTCCCAGCTCATAAATTGCTCATTCCCTTCTATTTTATAGCAGTCAAGTGGAGAAAGAATGGCTAAGGCAATCATAAATTCAATACAGGGTAGTATCAGAACAGTTTAGAGGGGCCTTAACTCAGTTCTAGGTAATCTATTACCTGCTTTCATTTCCACTCTTACTCCTGCTTTCTACTGTCTTGCCATCTTCAGGTCCTAAAACAGGACAGTATAGTTCTGGCATAAGACAAGCTTGAAACTACATGATATGGGGCATACTGCTTAATGTACACTGTGTAGCAGGTACTTAGGGAGTATTTTATATGCCTGCCATTGTCCTATGTGCTTTACATTTATTAATTCATGTAATTTTCAGCTGTGGGATTATCTGCTTTTCACAGATGAATAACATGAGGCACAGAGAAGTTAAATAACTTGCCCAAGGTTACTCAACTAGTAAGTAGTGGAGCTGAAATTCTAACTCAAGCAGTTTGGCTTCAGACTGAGTCCCTGCTTTTAACCATAAAAGAGTGATTTGATCTAAAAAAAAAAAATCATAAAAGCAGTGTTGTGTTCTCACACACACATATAATGTGTGTATATATATGCATACATATAATTTCTATGCTTTAGTAATTTTTTTTTTTTTTTTTTTTTGAGATGAAGACTTGCTGCCACCTAAGCTGGAGCGCAGTGGCATGATCTTGGCTCACTGCAACCTCCACTCCCAGGTTCAAGCGATTTTCCTGCCTAAGACTCCGGCATAACTGGGAGTATTACAGGCGTGGGCCACCATGCCCAGCTAATTTTTGAATTTTTAGTAGAGACAGGGTTTTACCATGTTAGCCAGGCTGGTCTCAAACGCCTGACCTCAGGCACCCCACCCGCCTCGGCCTCTCAAAGTGCTGGGATTACATGCGTGAGCCACCGCGCCCAGCTGTCTTAGTAATTTTAACGCATCTTCAGTTGCCAGCTAAATCTGTTTATTCTAGTGTCTGAAATAACTTAGTACCCACATCAATCAGCCACATACCCAATGCTAGTTTCCTGACTGGATCTGAGATAGGTATCTACTGTCCACTATTTCCTGTGTCCCCACTGTTTTTCTTTTTAAACCGAAAAACTAATACATGCACGTGATAATTTTAAGCAAGGACGTTCCCTCCCCCACCAATTTTTACTCTCAAAGGCAATTTCTTATGATTATCCAGAAATTTTCCATATTCACATGTACTTTTATTTTTTTATACCATAAAGGAGAACACTACACAACTCTTCTGAACCTTAAAGATAATCTTGGTTATCCAGCTATATATATCAGCATAGGCCGACCTTCTTCATTTTATGTTGTGCGGAATTCCAATGTATGAATATACCATACATTTATTCAGCCATTCCCTTACTGTTGTGATTTAGGTTTATAGGTTTACTGATGCTAAAACGAGTATCTTGCAAGTTTTTATCTATTTGTGCAAGCATATGAATGGGTTAAATTTCTAGACATGGGAGATGTGGGCCAAAAGGCATGTATATATTCAATTTTGAGAGCTGTTGCCAAAATGTTTACCTTCAAAGAAGCTGTACTGACCATATATTAACAGAGCTTGTTTCTCTATTCCCTCTCCAAAGTGGTATACTATCAAACTTTGTCTTTGCAGTCACTTCCTTGAAAAATAGTTCATATCCTTTTGCATTTATTTCAGCTGAGTAAAATTGAGCATTTAGAAATTTTAACAAATATTTTTATAAGCTTTTTTCTTTTTGTTTGAAATGCTTGGTCTTTGTCCATCTCTCAAGTTGCTGGATTTTTTTCTTTTTCATTAAAACTGATTTATATATTCATGAAATACTTACATATTAAGGAAGATAGCACTTCACCATCACTTATTTTTTTCTTCTCAGTTTGTTTTTTGCCTTTTGACTTTATTTTTTGCTGGGAGAAATTTTTACTTTTAGGTTACATCTTTTGTTTTTCTACAGTTTCTGGGTTTCTAGACTGTTTTGCTTAGAAATGCCTTTCCTATTCCAGAATTTAAGAAAAACGTTATTCCATGTTTTCTTCTAGTACTTTGTTTCATTTTTTACAATTTAAACTTTTAATCTGTTATAGATCTAGAAACTCAGAGTAAAAAACTAAGCTACCTACACTTAGATAATATAGCCTTAGAACAGATGTGGAGATGGTCTTCTCTAACTAAAGTAACCATCAGTCACAGATTGTCTAGGACCATCCCAATTTTAAGGATGTAGTATACTTGTCCTCAGATTATTGAAATATAACAGGAATTTCTACACTGACATCTACATTACATCAGACTGACTTTTTAAACTATTAGAGGTACGGAAATCTAATATGCATTTAATACAGCTTTAAAAAGGGGTCAGTGTGCTTAATTACCTTTTTTTCTCTCATCAAAAAGGCTTAAAGTGAGAAAATCTTGTCTCTAGCTTCTACTTCCAATGTGAAATACAACCATCAGTAAGCTTCTTCAGTTAGGCTAGCTTCTACTGCACCACCTAATATTCATCTAACGAATATTAGATGATGGAACATACAAGTCATTTATTTGAAATAATGGAAAGCAGTAGAAACCCAGAGCAGACATAAGTAGCCCATATAAAGAAATCTTATGACTAGAGAATTGAATACAATGAGAAATCAAATGGAAATGTTTTAGAGAAAAAATATTTGTAACATCAGTCCTCAATCAATTCAGTGAAGATAGAGAAATGAAATCTATAGACATTCTCCCTAAATTTTGACTGCTTTAATGAAACCTTAATAATGACAGCTGAATAATAGTTCTTTCCCTCTGTGAACTGGCCAGAAGGGATTGAAAAGAATATCTATGGATGATCAACCCACAATAAAGCTAATGCTTGTATCCCTGGAAAAGCAGAAGTATATTCTTTGGGCGTTAAATTAAATTTTATATACCATTGGAACATCATCAAAGGAACTGGCACTGAAACTGTTGTATCCCTTTGCTCTCTTTTCAGACAGGGCGGACCTGTGTGATTCCTTTACTCCTGGGGCTGTTGTATCATGGCTGATAATGACACAGACAGAAACCAGACTGAAAAACTCCTAAAAAGAGTACAAGAACTGGAGCAAGAGGTGCAAAGACTTAGAAAGGAACAGACCAAAAATAAAGAAGACTCAAACATTAGAGAAAATTCATCAGGAGCTGGAAAAACTAAGCGTGCATTTGATTTCAGTGCTCATGGCCGAAGACATGTAGCCCTAAGAATAGCCTATATGGGCTGGGGATACCAGGGCTTTGCTAGTCAGGAAAACACAAATAATACTATTGAAGAGAAACTGTTTGAGGCTCTAACTAAGACTCGACTAGTAGAAAGCAGACAGACATCCAATTATCACCGATGTGGGAGAACAGACAAAGGAGTTAGTGCCTTTGGACAGGTAAGGGCCAATACACTGTTTCTCAAAGCAAGCAATACTAGGATATTCTAGGTATACACACTGAATACTGAGATTATTTGTGTCTCTAAAACCCAGTATCTTTGTCTAACTCCACAGGTGATTTCACTTGACCTTCGCTCTCAATTTCCAAGGGGCAGGGATTCTGAGGACTTTAATGTAAAAGAGGAAGCAAATGCTACTGCTGAAGAGATCCGTTATACCCACATTCTCAATCGGGTACTCCCTCCAGACATCCGTATATTGGCCTGGGCCCCTGTAGAACCAAGCTTCAGTGCTAGGTTCAGCTGTCTTGAGCGGACTTACCGCTATTTTTTCCCTCGTGCTGATTTAGATATTGTAGCCATGGATTATGCAGCTCAGAAGTATGTTGGCACCCATGATTTCAGGAACTTGTGTAAAATGGATGTAGCCAATGGTGTGATTAATTTTCAGAGGACTATTCTGTCTGCTCAAGTACAGCTAGTGGGCCAGAGCCCAGGTGAGGGGAGATGGCAAGAACCTTTCCAGTTATGTCAGTTTGAAGTGACTGGCCAGGCATTCCTTTATCATCAAGTCCGATGTATGATGGCTATCCTCTTTCTGATTGGCCAAGGAATGGAGAAGCCAGAGATTATTGATGAGCTGCTGAATATAGAGAAAAATCCCCAGAAGCCTCAATATAGGTGAGTTAAAAACAAATGGCGCGTGGCTGTAGTCCCAGCTACTCAGGAGGCTGAGGCAAAGAATAACTTGAAGCCAGGAGGCAGAGGTTGCACTGAGCTGAGATTGGACCACTGCATCCTAGCCTGGGTGACAGAGGGAGACTGTCTCAAAAACAAAAACAAAAACAAAACAAAACAAAACAAAAAATAGCATATCCTTCTCTCCCCCGTAACTATCTAAATAATGGTCACTGATTCTGCCTTCATGAAGCTTTAATCTGAATTGTAGAATGTTATGAACATGTAAGAGACAGCAGTATATTCTAATTTCCTCTCATTGTTCTATCCCATGAGTAAAGAGACAGGTGTTTTGACCAGGCTCCTTAAGTAAAAGGACATTAATTTCTACATCTTTGTTGTTTCTGAATTTATGTTGAGGTATTATTGTTAGGATGTGGTAAAATTAAAATGAACAAACTATTCATATTAAATCTTGCTTGTTTTATATTACTGAGTAGTCATCCTACTGTACTTCTAAATTTTTCCTAATTTCGTATTTCTGAAATGGTAGGAAAGAAAGAATAGTCAAGATTTTTATTTTGAGAACAGGCTGAGATAGATACCAATAATTTTACCCATACTATACAAAATTGCAATGCTATTAACAAATTTGGAAAAAATACCAGCTGTTTTAAATTTTATAGCAGTATGGTGGAGCCATGTCTTGTTAGCACTGACATTTACCTAACATAGATCAGGTTGGTCTATGATTTGTTGCATTTTTCATTATTGTAATAAAGGTGTTCAAGGTTAGGGATGGTGAGATATTTTCTCAGCTATTAGTCAATATTAACATCAACGGTGACCTCCTACCCGGCTCCCTTAATGCAACTAACCCTTAGATTTTAAAGAACTGTTAGATGGCTGCTATGTATTCTCAAACCCTTTCTTTTCTTTTTCTCTAGTATGGCTGTAGAATTTCCTCTAGTCTTATATGACTGTAAGTTTGAAAATGTCAAGTGGATCTATGACCAGGAGGCTCAGGAGTTCAATATTACCCACCTACAACAACTGTGGGCTAATCATGCTGTCAAAACTCACATGTTGTATAGTATGCTACAAGGACTGGACTCTGTTGCAGTACCATGTGGAATTGGACCAAAGATGGATAGAATGACAGAATGGGGAAATGTTAAGCCCTCTGTCATAAAGCAGACCAGTGCCTTTGTAGAAGGAGTGAAGATGCGCACATATAAGCCCCTCATGGACCGTCCTAAATGCCAAGGATTGGAATCCCGGATTCAGCATTTTGTACGTAGGGGACGAATTGAGCACCCACATTTATTCCATGAGGAAGAAACAAAAACCAAAAGGGACTGTAATGACATAATAGAGGAAGAGAATACTAATTTGGAGACACCAACAAAGAAGGTCTGTGTTGACACAGAAATTAAAAGCATCATTTAACCATAGACAATTTGCCAGGATCTAGGAACCACCTAATGGTAGGTGGACAGAAAGGAAAAAAAAAATGTACTTGCAAGTACTAGGAATTCAGATGATCAGCTCTCAAAAAAAAAAAAAAAAAGCAAAAAGACTAAAGCCCTATTAAGGAAGTTATTGCTTTAATAAGAAATTTCAAATACTCTCTTATCCCGTTCCAAAAGGATTAAGAGATTAAAGAAGCAAAAAGCAGTCGTAAAATGGAGACGTATTTACGTACACCTGGAAACCTGTGCCTTGTATTCAAATTAATTAAAGCGTAATCCTGCAAGTATCTAATTTGTTGTGTTTTTCTCCCCCAAAGCAGATAAGTTATTCACTACTCATCTGAATTTTCATAAACTGCTTCACCTGAGTGTCTTATTTTCTAAGACAGAATTTAAGAATATTAAATTCATTTAATTAAAGATTGGATAAATTGGTTTAATGCCAGGCACCTACCTGGAAGTTAACTAAATGAATAAAGCACAGTACCTTATCTTACAAAGCATATAAATCTAGTGCAAAGGTTGGTAAATGTTTCTGTGAAGGATTAAAGAGTAAATGTTTTAGGCTTTGTGAACCACAAATGACGTCCATTGCATACGTATTTTTACAATCCTTTACAAATGTAAAAAGCACTCATAGTTCATGGGCCATGGTGTTTGCCAAGCCTTGGGCTAGTGACTATACGCAAGTGCTTATAGAGGAGATATTAAAGCTAAATCTTACAGAACAAGTGGGAGCCAGTTAAACTGAGGATAACCACTTTAAGTGTGTCAGAAGGCAGAAGATACAGTTGTATAAAGGGTTAGAGATGACAGGATATGTATTCAGGCAACTGTGAATTCTTTAATATGGCTTGAGAGTGACAAGAACGTAGTTTAAAAAGGTAACCAAAGGTCACATTTGTAGAGCAAAGGCATTCCTTAAAAAGCTTAGATTTTGCAGGGACACTGAAAGAATTTACATGCCCAACAGAATTGTGTGGCAAAAATATTGCTCTGAGTGTTCTGTGGATGGGAAGAGGGCAAGATTGGAGGCATTGTGACAAATTAGGGGGCTGTTGGAGTAATGGAGGCAATGGATGATGAAATGGCCTAGAAGAGACTTAGTGAGGTGAAGGGAGATAAGTAGAAATTTCAGATTAAGAAAGTAGAAACAACAGAACTCAGTGAATATGCTGTTCAAAACTAGGGAGGCTTTCTAGATAACTCCTAAGTTTCAGATGTGAGCAAAATGAGTGGCTGGTAGTACCACATACTGAGAGAGGAAAAATGAGATGGGGCTTTGCTTGTTCTCAAAGCAAAGTTAATAAGTGACCCTCAAAATATTACTTGTGAACACCAGTATTTATTCAAAAGAACTCAAAGTTGTCTTAAATACATTATGCTTTGCAGCCATAAAAATAATAAACATCAAAATTTGAACTCAGACCTTCTTCCTCAAAAATAATTTTCATAATTGCAGCGTGTGTTATCCACATTTGGAATTTTTACAAATGCTACCTCAGAGAGTAATTTTACAAACTTACATTTGAAGGCTTCTTGTTTATTCTACCTACGATGACTGTTTTGACTTATGTAGTCACTAAATTCTTACTCTTCTAGATTGGATAGTACAATCTAGTCAACGTTGAAAGGATTTTACTTAAGATCTAAGACCCTGATCCTATAATTTACACTTCTACCATGTTTATGAGATCCAAAGTTTTACTTACCAACCAATAATTAGTTATTTCCTACCCATGTTCAAGACTCCAGGTATACAAATATGTTTTCTATCCTCCAGCTGCTAGTGCAAATAACACATGGGACAATTAAAAACAATACTAATATATAAACATAAACTAATACTCCATAATTTCTACAGAAGCCCAGCAGGGGGTGGACCACAGAAATAAAACTTCACTGAAAGAGTTCCAGATTTAGGAAGTAAAATAGCATACAAACGGTGAGGTGACCCTGTAGTACTGAAAAGTACATTATAATAGCTGTTATATCCTAGCAGAGAGGGAACCAGAAAATATCCCCATTTTAGAGATGGGGAAATAGTGGTACAAAATTACTTAAGATTTATTCAAAATTGCCCATTGTATCATCCAAGTCTTCTGGATTTGAATCATTATCACTGCTGTTTGGGTCCTAGTCTATCAACACTTCATTATGCCCTGAGTATTCTTAAAATATAATTTGGCCTTTGATTTTGATTTAAAGATCCTCTTTTTCATGTAATCAATGATCATGGTGGAATAAAACATGTAAGTGCAAACCAAAGTTGTTTTTTTTTTCTGAATTTCTTACCTTATTTCAATGTATCTTGATTGGCATTTACATTCAATTAAAAAAAAACCTAGAAAAGAAAAATAGAGCTTAAAAAAATTAACTCTGAAGCAGTGATACATGGAACAAAATGCACTAACCAAAAGTCATTGTTAGGATACTGTGTAGAAGCAAAGGAATCAGAAGATCAGGGTCTTAGATCTTAAGTAAAATCCTTTCAAGTTTGGCTAGATTATACTATCCGATCTAGAAGAGTAAGAATTTAGTGACTACATTTTTGGTAGTTGCCATAGAAAAAGTCAAGACAGTCATCACAGGTGGAACAAATGGGAAGCCCCCAAATGCAACTTTGCAAAGTTACTTGTTCTCTTAGGCAGCATTTGTACAAATTCCGAAGTCTCTGACCCATAGTAGGGACTAAATAAATGTTAGAATAAAGGAATTATTTCAATAGGTTGTGAAATTTAAATGACACTTTTTATATATCTATACATAAATAACCATTTGTGAGACTCTGTTTGGGCCAGGAAGACTTTTGGCAGTAAAGCCAAGAGCTAGGTTTTTTTTTGTTTTAATGGCATGTGTCCTACTATACAGTGATTAATGTGTTATTTCCTCTGCATTTCAACTGTGTCACATCCTATTTTTTTCCTTGAACATATGAAGATGGTGTTTGCAAACAATAAATAAAATACAAACTTTAATAAGGTCCATAGGTAACTGTCAGTTCCTTCTCTTTGTAATATAAAAGATAGAACAATCCTTTGTCTTTACAGGGAAACTTTCACATAAAAGCTAGAGCAACTTGTATTTTGTAAACACAGACAACGTTGACCAAAATACCTAATGATATCTTCTCTCGAAAAATCTCAGTGACTCAGCATCCTAGGTTTAGCTAGTTACAATCAAAAGGATTTCAAGGGGAGAAGGGGCGAAGACTTTAAATTGAGATAAAGGGACTGGGTCAGTAGACTGTTACAGGGAGGCTATTGCAGTTATAACAAATTTCTCTACCTCTGGGGAGGTAAGCAAGCAGCTTAAGGAATCATAGTATTAAAACAAAACATCCTACCACAAAGGCAAACAATACCATAATGAAGGCAAAAGAGACAACAAACTGGGACAAATACTTGTAACAGGTTTAAATATCAGTAATTTGAATTCCTCTTAGAAAGCTATTAAAGGGTACACATATCAGTAAGATAAGGGAGAAAAGACAGATGCTTTACCAAAGAAATAATAACTAATAAACAGGCTGGGCGCAGTGGTTCATGCCTGTAATTCCAGCACTTTGGAGGCTGAGGTGGGAGGATCGCTTGGGGCTGGGAAGTAGTTAAAGACCAACCTGTGCAACACAGCAAGACCCCCATCTCTCAAAGAAAAAGAAAAAAAGATTAGGCATGGTAGCGTAAGCCTGTAGTCTCAGTACTATGGGGGCTGAAGCAGGAGGACCGCTTGAACCCTGGAGTTTGAGGCTGCAATGAGCTATGATCTGGCCACTGCACTCCAGCCTGGGCACAAAGTCAAAGTCTGTTGTAAACAACAACAAAAATTAATAAACAGAAAACATGTTCAATCTCAATAATGTGTATAAAAGCATTAAGACACCATTTCAGATTGGTAAGATTTTTCAATACCCAGTGCTGGCGAGTGTGTGAAGAAATAAAAACAAGGGTCCTTATTCTGCCCTGTGTGTTGGGGATAATCCCTTTTTCCAGAAGGCAGTTTGGCATTATTATTGTTTGACTCGAGTCTCTGTCGCCCAGGCAGTGATCTCAGCTCACTGCAACCTCTGTCTCGCAGCGATTCTCCTGCCTCAGCCTCCCAAGTAGCTGAGAGCACAAGCACCCGCCACCACGCCCGTCCAATTTTTTTTTTCTATTTTTAGTAGGGACGTGGTTTCACCATGTTTGCCAGCTGGTTTCAAACTCCCAATCTCAAGTGATCCGCCCGCCTCGGCCTCCCAAAGTGCTGGGATAACAGGCGTGAGCCACCGCGGCCGTCCTGAATTCTGATTTATAATGCCAAACTGCCCTCTAGAAAAAACGGATTATTCCCAACACACAGGGCATAAAAGTGCTTGCTTTTATTTCTCCACTTTCTCACCAGCATTGGGTACTGAAAAATCTTACCAATCTAAAAAGATACCTTAATGTTTTCCTTTGCATGCTTAGTGAGATTGTAGACTGTTTAGAATAGAAAAGATTTACTTCCATTTCGGGGTGGGCAAACACCTTGGACGGTTCCATGTGGCAATTCACAAAAGCTGCAGCTAGAAGGCGACAAGACACGCTCCGCCTTCAATGGCAAAGCTCGCAGTCGCCCCGCCTGGCCGCGGGCGTGGCTAGGACCCGGATCGCCAGCGGCCTTCGGGACTCCGCTCCAGTCCCGGGGCCGTGGCCGGCCTCCGCCTGGTCCCAGGGGCGCGGCCCAGAAGCTGAGGGAGACCACCAGGACAAAGACGGCGGCGGCGGCCAGCGCACACCGCTACCTCCAGGGGCCGCGGCCCGCCGCGCACAGCGCCTGTAGCTCACGCTGCCCGGGCCGCCTTCTTCAGGAACGCAGAGGTTCGGGACTGCTCGCCAGGCAGGACCTGGAAACCAGGGAGGGAAGCTGCCACTCTGCACCATCCCGAAGGTGGGAAAAGGAGCGAGAGCTCCCGCGGCAGTGGGCCGGCAGTCACCAGGTCCCCGCGTCCCGCCGCTTCCGGCCTTCGCCTGGCTTACCCGCGTCGCCGAAGTCCACTCTCTCTACACCGCGTCCTGCCAGCCGCCGGCAGAGCACCGCAGATTCTGTTAGCGTTCGCTTAGCTGGCGCAGGCGCACTTCCCCCCACGCGCCGAGCCTGCCGTTAACCGCCGGCCGCTGAGGTTTAAATCCCGAGAGCGAACCGGCACCCTTAGCCCCGCCCACCGTCCCTCTTATTGGTCCTGAGGGTAAACGTCCTCCAAGTCTGCATCCTGATTGGCGCACATTTTCTCTTGGCCTTCTCCGCAAGCGGGAGCATGCCCGGGATTTCGCATGCTGCCCTAAAAATGGATATCCGAGCCCGCCTAGCTGAGGCGTGCAGGCAGCAGTTGTTGCTGCGATGCCTCCGGTGTAGTAAGTCTGGAAGGGAGGTTGGGCCCTCGAAGAGAAGGAGAAAACTCTCAAACCTTGGCTAACGGCGAGGTAGCTGGGATTTTGGAGAGGCCGCCTAACGTTCTGCCACCTCATTGGAATCAGCCTCCGCCCTTCTCAACTGCTGACTGCTGCGGGGCCAGTGGTGCCGGGAGGGGAAGGCGCTCAGGGCACGGTTCCAACCGTCTGCCTGGGCGCTCTAGACGTGCCCCTGGGGCCTGACAGAGCGGCTGTATGAAGCCCCGGCGCACTGAGCTCCTCCTGAGTAGCTGGGACTACAGGTGTGTGCCACCACAGCTAGCTAATTTTTGTATTTTTAGTAGAGAACGGGGTTTCACCATATTGGCCAGGCTAGTCTTGAACTCCTGACCTCAAGCGATCCGCCGGCCTCCATCTGCCAGAGTGCTGGGATTTCCAGCGTGAGCCACCGTGCGTTGCCCCAATTAGTTTCTTGTTATCCTTTATATTAAATGTTGATCTTTGAAAACCTTTAATACATAGCAACTTGAAGGATCTACTCCTGCATATTTCATATTTCAAGTGGTATCTGGTGTTCTACCCAACCCTGGTTTTTTTGTGGATTATTTAGTCCTCCAATTTTTCTTAGATCTGATTTAATAATGCTTGTGGTTCCCAGAAATCTACTGAACCCAGGTCAAACCTTAAACAAGAAACTTTAACCAAGACCACTTAAAATACGGTATATAGAAGAAAATCTTACTCTGCAAACCAAATCTCATCTTAAAAATTTGTTATGGAAAATTTCAAACAAATTTTGAAAAGCCATACATAATGAAGCCCGGTGAACTCAATATCAGGTTCAGCAATGATTAACTTATGACCCGTCTTGTTACTGCTATATCACTAACCACATACCTTGTCTTGTATTGTTTTGAAGCAAATACAAAGTATCTGAAATCTAAATATTTCAGTATAATCTCTGGAAAATTAAAGGACGTCTTAAAAGCATACCATAATATTATTATCACACCTGAAGTACTTAATATGTTTTTTTGCTATCATCAAATATCCAGAGTTCAATTTTCTGCTTGTCTTTTTTTTTTCAGTCTGCTTACCTGGGTCAGGATCCAGTCAAATCCATGTGATATGTCAAATCCATATGTTCTTAAGCTTCTTTTATTCTTTAAATTCCTCCTTCATTTTTTTTTTCCTTGAAATTTAGTTGTCAAAGGAACCAGGTGATTGGTCCTGTACAATCTCCCGTAATCTGGATTTTGCTGATTACATCTAAGCAGTGTCGTTTAACATGGCTTCCTTACCTTTTGATTGCAACACAGCTCTCTTCCGTATGCTTTCCCTAATTAGGTGTTGTTGGTTTATCAACTCATCAACTTCTTTATGCACTCAGATATTGCTTTCAACTGGTGATATCATCATGCTTAAGGTAACCGCTCCTTTTTTTTTTGAAACAGAGTCTCGTTCTTGTCGCCCAGGTTAGAGTGCAATGGCGCGATCTCGACCCACTGCAGCCTCCGCCTCCTGGGTTCAAGTGATTCTCCTGCCTCAGCCTCCTGAGTAGCTGGTATTACAGGCGCATGCCACCGTGCCTAGCTAATTTTGGTATTTTTATTAGAGACGGGGTTTTGCCATGTTGGCCAGGCTGGTCTTGAACTCCTGACCTCAGGTGATCCACCCGCCTCGGCCTCCCAAAGTGTGGGGATTACAGGCGTGAGCCACTGCGCCCGGCCAAGTTAACCACTCCTTTATGATATCTTTGCTTACCTCACCTCTTTGTTGACATTTTCAGACAAACTTCTTCAACTATAGTCCTCCCTTATCTGACTGATTACATCCTGTCTCTAATATTTTCAGTTCTTCTCTGTTTAAGTCTTCTCAGTATTGAAGGCAGAACAATAATGGCATAAAGAATAACAACATGAAAATAACCAGCTTTCCCTTGACACTGCTGCTCCCTTCTGTCAGCCTTTTTGCCCATCCTCTCTCCCCTATCTTCTTTGCTCAGTTGCTCCTTAAGTCCCTACATTCTGGATTCTACCCTCATCAGTATATTCAAACTGTACTTTCAGAGGTCACCAGTGATCTTGATAGTCAGCTCCAGTTGTCTTGCTCAGCCCTCATTCTTTTTTACTTCTTAAAAGTATTTGATAATCAATTCTGCAAGTATTTAATGAACCCCCGTGGTTAGTACTGTGCTATGTCTTGGTGATTTGATAGTGAATAAAAAGACACAATTTCTGCCCTTATGGAGATTTTGGTCTGATAGGAGAAATTGACACTGATCAAATAATCACAAATTACAGTTGTCCCTCAGTGTAATCTGGGTATTGGTTTCAGGGCCCCTGCATATGCCAAAAATCCATGCATACTTAAGTCCTCAAGTTAGACCTACAGACCCACTTATATGAGAAGTTGGCCCTCTGTATACCCAGGTTTCACATTTCTCAAATACTGTATTTTCCATTGCCTTTTGTTGAAAAAAATTCACATATAAGTGAACCTGTGAGTTCAAACTTGTGTTGTTCAAGGGGCAACTGTATTATAAAATTACAGTTGTGTTCAATGCTAAGGAGAGGCAAATGGTTCAATGAGAACATTTATTAATAGGGAGATTTGGCACAGTGTCACTGAACCAAGAATTGAAGGATAAGTAGGTGAAAGGACGTGGAGGGAAGTGAAGAGGGTGAAAGGAGTTTGCTAGGTAGCGGGAATAGCATACTCAAAGGTCTATGAGAATGGAAGAGTCAAGAAACATAAAGACCAGCAAAGAAAATAATGGTAGAGATGAGACTGAGAGATAGGCAAGGGTCAAGTCGTGCAGGTCCTGCAGGCCAAGGCAAGAGATTTGATAAGAGCTCTAGAAACTGAAGTGTTTTAAGCAGGGTTGGGGCTTGACTTAGTCAGGTAAGGGCTATATATTCAGATTTGCATTTGAAGTTATTTGTTGGCAGCACTGAGGAGAATGGATTTGAAGAGGGAAAGATTATATGTGAAGTCCAAGTGGGAGACAGTTACATTATTCCAGGTGGAAGACTGTGGTAGCTTAGGCCAGGAGGATAATAGCCAGAGATTTCAAGAAGGCGATAGAGATAGTTAGTTGCTAAAACTCATGATGACTTGAAATGGATTGACTGGGGTTGGGATGTGAAAGAGAGGCAGGTCATGGATTATTCATAGGATTCCTGTTTGCACAACTGGATTCTGTTTTCTGAGATAGGGAATACAGGAAGAAAACCGTGTTTTGAGAGACAGAGTTAGATTTTGGGCATGTAGAATTTGAGATACCCTGGGGGCCTCCAGGTGGAGATAAAAGTAGGTAGAATATAAGCTTATATTATGGTGTCATATTATCTAGGCACAAAATCTGCCTCCTCTACTCCCTGTTTGTGATGAGGACAAGTTATTAACCTACTTTGAAGAAGTAAAAAAGAATGAGGACTGAGCTTGGAGCTTAGATGAAACATATGGCCTAGTGATGTGGATGTATGACTCATTTGCATATAGGTGGATGTGGTTTAAGTAAAGGGTAAGAACAAGGTCTTCCAGGGAGAAAGTACAGAATGAAAGAAGGCAGCCTGTGTAGTACCAAGTGTGTTCACTGCCCTGTCCTGAAACTCTCATTCGTGGAACTCAGGGTACCTTGTCCTGGCTCTCCTCCCAGCTCTCTTCTGCCTCTCAACTATTGCTGTACCCCAAGTGTTGATCCTTTCTGTTTTTGTTTTTTTAAATCTTGGAGAGCTTAATGGTTTTGTTGCTTCCACTATCCATTTTATATGGAGTAATTTCAAAATCTGTATTTCTAGTCCTTACCTTTCTCCTGAGTTTCTAATATCTACCTTAGCTGTATTCTAGCGTCTCTACATAGATGTCTTTTCATCCTCCCGAATGCAACATGTCTGAATTTTTTTTTTTTTTTTGAGACGGAGTCTCGCTCTGTCGCCCAGGCTGGAGTGCGGTGGCGCGATCTCTGCTCACTGCAAGCTCCGCCTCCTGGGTTCACGCCATTCTCCTGCTTCAGCCTGCTGAGTAGTTGGTACTACAGGTGCCTGCCACCACGCCTGGCTAATTTTTTTGTATTTTTAGTAGAGACAGGGTTTCACTGTGTTAGCAAGGATGGTCTCGGTCTCCTGACCTCATGATCTGCCTGCCCCGGCCTCCCAAATATCTGAAATTTTTATTACTTAATCTTTCCCCTCTGGATTCACCGTGTGATTTCCCCTGTTTGTATCTGTGGTATTGATCACTCCCAACATTTAATCATTTTTTACTTTTTCTCATCCTCATTTTTCTAATAAACATTACATTATTAAGCTTTATTACTCTCCTTTCCATTCCCTTTTTGCTACTGATTACTATTTCAGTCCTAATTATTTCATTCTTGGATTCTTTCAGTAACACATTTAATAATATGGGAGGACATGGTTATCAAAAGATACAGTTACAGCAAATTTAGCTTCAAGTTCAAATTGGCTCTTACTTGTGATTCCAGAATCAAACAACACCTCATTTTATAAAATAGAATGAGTGTTCAGATGAAGTGAGTAGAAGAGTTTGGCTTCATAGGCAGAAAAGGGTAGAAGAAAGCAGAAATGGAACAAAAAGTAGATTGGTCGGTTCAAAATTTCTTTCCTTATAGTGTTAAAACAGGGAACATCCTCATCATGCTAGCTTAGGTGAACCGTACTCCTGATTGGTTGCTACGAATCTTCTGTTTTTGGAAAACTGGCCTGTTTCAGATGTCAGTTTGATTATGTGGCACCTATTTGAATGACTTCATTCTGGTTTGTTTGGTCTCTTGGGACCTAATGCAGGAGGCTAGTCCAAACAATGGCCTCCCATACTTTGTTTACATGGTATAGTTAAGATTATAAGCTCATATTATGGTGTCACATTATCTAGGCACAAATTCTGCCTTCTCTACCCCCTAGTTTGTGAAAAGGACAAGTTACTTAGCCTCTCTTTGACTAAATTTTCTCACTTACAAAATGGGGATAATATGCTTGAGCACGGGAGGTAGAGGCTGTAGTGAGCTATGATCACACCACTGCACTCTAGCCTGGGCGACATCTCACCTAGGCTAGAAATCTCACCTTTGAAATCTCCTAAATGATAAGAGTGGCTTTTGAATGCTAGGGAGATGACTGGTTGCAGGATGGGGGCTGGTCACCAGAAAGACCAAGGCATGATTAGAATTGGTTGGAACTTTCAGCCCTATGTCCCGGTCACCAGGGAGGGGAGAGAGGCTACAGACTGAGTTGATCACCAATGACCAATGTAATCAATCATGCCTACGCAATACAGTTTCCATAAAAAGTTAAAAGGATAGCTTGTGGGGAGCTTCCGAATAGTTGAACATATAGAGGTTCCTTGAGGGTGGCATGCCCAGAGAGGGCATGGAAGCTTCATACCCCCTGTCTCTCACATGCTTGCCCTAGGTACCTCTTCCAGCTCTGACCCTATTTTGAAGTAGATAGAATCACAATGGAACTAGAAGACACCCAGCTGATGTCCACTGCAGAGTTGATTGCTTGGTGTGTGGGGAAATAACTCCCATACATGTGGTGTCGCAAGTGTTGTGTTGAGTGGTATGTGAGAGTGGAGGGGAAAAAAGTTTCACTAACTCAATTTCTTTTATGGGGTTGTGGTGAGAATTAAATTAAAAAGTGCATGTTAGCACAGTGTCTGCCAAGTAATAATAACTAAATACATTATAGATACTGTATAGTATTGTTATTCTTCATTCTTATTCTTATTAGATGAATAGCTCCCTGCCTTCCCTTATATCTCTTTTGGCTCAATCCATCCTACATCATTGCCAGATGAATCTTCCTAAAACTTTAATCAAGTTATTTTGCTTAAGCACTTTCAGTGATTTATGTTTGCCAGAGTAAATTCAGTTTCCCTGGGTTCCTGCACAACCTGGAGCCATCCTGCCTTTTCAGTCTTATTTCCCCTCTACTCAAGTCCTCTATTCTGGCTAGTTTTGTTTCTTCGCTGTCCTGAAAGCCACTTGGCTTATTTAACTCTGTGCCCTATACTGCCTTCTTTATCTAGATTGTCCTCTGTCTCCTTCCGAATCCCATGGAGCTATTGAATTCTCAGCTCCAACTCACCTCTTCTACCAAGCCTAACTACCCTTCAGCCATTGGAATCTGACCATCGTTGAAATTTCTGTAGCACTTGTTTTTGTCATTTAACACCTACAACATTTAGATTGAGACTGTTATTATTCTGTTGAGTCTTTTCTTCTTGAGCTGCTCTTTCCTTTCCAATCTTACTTGCTGATATTTCATAATGTGAGACCTTCACCAGTATGTTTACTAAACACTCAAATGTCAGCTGTGATGATGATGGACAATCAAAACTGTCTCCAGACATCACCAAATCCAATCCACCATGGGGTCAACAATATCCAGGATTGAGAATCAACATCTGGTATTCACAACGTCTAGCATTGCTACAGGATGATGATGATGAAGAGATGATGTACATTTCCACTGATAGTCATACAGGGCCTTCTGTGTTTATGTCTCTTTCCAGCAATCACAAAGGCAGTATGTTATACAGGAAGCAGCAACAAAGGAACAGGAATCAGGAGACTAGAGTTCTGGTCTCAGTAATTTGCTTTCATAATTTGGATAAGTTAGTCTGTGTTTCAGCTATTTCACCTACAAAATCAATAGTTAAATGAGATATTGTTAATT